TAATTAAATATTTTTTATAATTTTTTATGGGTTCGCCACTGAAAGGAAATGGTATATATCAAAGTGATATCCGGATAATTTTTTCTAACTTCGTCACTGAAGGGTATATTCATCCAAGTGACATATAATAATTTCTATATAGAAACATATGTACCTAGAGATTATTTTTATATTTGGTTGCTAGCTTAAGAAATAGGAAAGAACTCGGAGAGACACAGAAGGGGAGAGTCAGAGGGGGTGGGACGGAGTACCTATATACATGTGAACGCATTATGTTTTCTTTTCCGAACATATAATACGTATTGAAAGGGGAACGTGCAGATTTTTTTCTTGAAGATAAGATTTAATGGTAAAATAAATTAATTGTTTAAAATATTGGGTCCACCGGTTTGAATGAAAGTGGCACGAAGCGATGTAGGAGCTTTTACCGGAGTGCCACCGGACATAAATTATACAATGAGATAGATAATCATACATATGATGCTTATAATGTCTATCCACTTACCATAATTATCACCGTTTTCACTCTATATTAGTTAGAAACTATAGTTAATAAATAGCTAATTTTTATCGGTTTAAGTCATTGGATTATTTATAGTTTATAGTTAAAGAAATATGTTATTTTGAATTTTATTGTGACTTTTTAGTATCATTTAAAAAAAATTAAAAAATATGAAACAAATGATATATATTTTACCGGCTGAAAAACTACATATCAAATATTATGGAGGAGTCCGGTACCTGTGTACGGACGTGTGAGGTTCACGTACACGCGAGAGAGAGAGGAGAGGGTGGGATTAAATTCTCTTTTTAATCTAATTAAATCTAATGGTCTAATAGACCCACCAATTTAAATGAAAATCGGGCTAGATATTCCTAATATATTAGAACGCCACATGGCGATTTAGGAGCGTTTATAGGAATGCCACATGACGGTATGAGAGCGTTTGTAGTATGTTTAATGGATTTTTAGTATATAATAATAGATAATAGATAAATGGCAAATTTTGCTACATGACACTTGTTATGTGTGGTTTTAGCTCTAGGACACTGCCCAAACTCACTTTTAGGGGAAAACACTCCATAAACGTGGTAATTTGCTAGTGGACACCGCGCCGATTAAAATAATATTTTCCGGTTGGGGAGGAGAGAGAAATCGCGTGGAATGTCAAAAATGCCCTTGGGCCCACATGTCAGCTCTATCTCCTATCTCTCTCCTCATCTCTCTTTTCTCTCTCGGAGCGCCTCCACGCCGCCTTCAAGGAGCACAGCGGCCACCCACGATGCCGCCCTCCCCTCCCTCCTCCCCGTCGTCGTCGGAGTTCGACTCTCAGTCGGAGTCCCAGTCGGAGTCGGAGTCGTCGCCCTCACCCTTCCACGCCGTCCGCAGCCACCATCTGCCGTCCTACCGGAAGACAAAGCAGAGCAGCGAGGCGCGCGCGCGGGCGGGTCCCCTCTCCTCCTCATCTGGAACGGCGAGCGCGGCGGCGGTTGTCAGATCCGCGTCCGACGCGTCGGCGTTGGCGTCCGCCACCGGCTTGGGCGGAAGAAGCGGCTCCGCGGCGGCCTCGCGGTAGTCAACGGGCTCGGGCAGCAGCAGCACCGCCTGCGGCGGGAGGTCGGCGGGGCGGCGCGCCGAGGCCGGGGCCACGAGGAGGAAGCAGACGGCGGCGGCGAGGGCGAGGGCGACCCCAGCGGGGGCCATGCTTTGCTCTTGTGATTAGTAGTAATACTAGTATTTGTGGATTTGCTCTTGTGATTAGTACTCTCAGGCCGGCGCTGCCGCTCCGCCGGCCGCCGTCCTCGCCACCCCGTGCGAGCGCGCTCTGAGAGATAAAAGAGAGAGATGAGGAGAGAGATAGGAGATAGAGCTAACATGTGGGCCCAAGGGCTTTTTTGACATTTCACGCGATTTCTCTCTCCTCCCCAACCGGAAAGTATTATTTTAATCGGCGCGGTGTCCACTGGCAAATTACCACGTTTATGGAGTGTTTTCCCCCAAAAGTGAGTTTGGGCAGTGTCCTAGGGCTAAAACCACACATAACAAGTATCATGTAGCAAAATTTGCCTAGATAGATTGGCTATTACATTGGCTCTAGATGACTTGGGGCTGGTATTTGGCTATACTATTGAACTTGTGCTAAAGAACTCCCGACAATAGCTCTTCTCACCAAGATTAAAGAGGAGGGGGAGGACTTGGGTGCGTGCTAGAGCAAAGCATCCAGCAGAGATTGTTTCTTAAGCTTGTATAGCCCTTTTTAGGTTTTACCCTCTAAAGACTTTTACTCATTCTCTATTCAAGGAAATTGGCACCGTCTTGTGTCTGTTCATTAAGAAAAAGCAGTAACAGTCATGCTCTCATGCTCTGAAGAAAAGCAGAAACCAACATCAGCAAGGCTCTTCGTGGGTGCGGCGTTTCGGTTCGGCTGGGCTAGAGCAAGAGGCTCATGTCATCATGTGGATGCGCACCCAACCATGGGTAGCTACCAGGGCTTTGGCCCATTTAGAGCGAGTACAATAGCAGGCTGAGTGCTGTAAACTCATGTAGAGGAGAGAAGAGAAAAAGAGAAGGAAAGCAGACCGGCTGCCGCACGGACTCCAATACATTGTGTGTATATGAGAGGTGGGATCATATATTAATGGTGTAGTATATAGTTATAGGTAACTATTACATGAATAAGCTATTAGATTGTAGTATATTATTATATGAATAAACTATTAGATTGTAGTATATGTTTATAGGTAACTATTACATGAATAAGTTATTAAATTGACTATTGATGTATTGAAGCCTTAAACTTGCTCTTAAAGATGAAGTAGAGAGAGATAAATGAAGATAGAGAAAGAAAGAGAGAGATCGTGAGATACCATGAGTTGGGTGCGCATCGTCTGCTCACCGTGCCGGGTGCCAATGAGAAGAGAGGAAGGGGAGTATCTAAAAAACTGTCACAAGTTTGTTGGGTCAAAAACAAACTGTCACAAGTTTGTTGGGTCAAAAACTTATCATTCAGCAGTTCAGCTTGTGGGTTTGCAAATCCTGATCGTCCATGCAAAGTAATGGTTGGGATTGGCCAATGGCACGGTGCTGTTGAAACAGAGAACGGCCGATGATGCGCACCGCCGCACCCCCAGTAGCCAACGGGAGGAAGCAAAAAAAACAAAGGAATTAGGAAGGAAAAAAGAAAAAGAACAATTGAAGAGAGGAAAAAGGAAAAGAGATAGGAAGAAAAAGAAAAGGATATGGATTTTTCTTTTCGGAAAAATTCCAAATTTGGAGGATTTTGGAAAAAAAAAATTAGAAAATTTTATGGATTGGGAATATTTAGGATTTGAGAGAATTCACGGAATTGAGCTCCACTTCCAAAAGCCAAATAAAAATCAAATAACAAACAATAGAAAAAAAAAGAGTGGCATAATTAATTTATTTAGTAAATTTAACCCTTTTTTATTTATGAAATTTCTATTAAGCTATTTTAGGCGAATAAATATTAATGTGAATTTTCGAAATTAGGCAAATTCAAAAACGTGAAAAGCGAGACGTGGCATTAGTCCTCCACCATCCGATCTCTCTTTACGAACTCTTCTTGATTGGTTCTTTCCTTCCCCGTCACTTATTTGTCAAAATCGTAATAGCTTCCTTTGGTTTCTACACCATCACCACCACCTCCATCCCTGCTGCCACTATTCCTAACACCGTTGTCACCACTATCACTTCTTCCCTACTACAAGCAAAGCCGGCCTCCAACCAAAAGAAAAGAAGAAAAAAGGTTCCAGTTTCTCCCAAAAGAAGTACTCCCAAAAATAGGTAAACTACGAGACCAAAGCATTAGAACTTCTCTCGTGTTCCCCAAAATGAGACTTCTGCAAGAGCTACCATCCATCAGCTTCCTAATTCCTGTCAGTTGTTTTTCATGAAACCTGAATGAAATAGAGAACGGTTTTGCTAGCTAGCTGTCGACAGTTTTGGAGGCCAAAAACTTTCGATTTTCTGGCCGTGCGATCCGCGCGAGATGATTTTCCGCCGTGCGATCCGCGCGAGATTTGGAAAAAAAAAATGTACGCGTGTTGTGCTTGCAGGGGCTCGAACCCAGGGTCTCCATCCTGGAAGCCGTGCGTGCTAGCCACTTGATCTGCTACATGTTTTTGTAAAGTTTAATGAGTTACATTTTAGTTATACTCCAGTTATACCCTAGTTACACTATAGTTACATTTGTAACTACATTGTAACTACATTGTAATTACTATGTAACTGCACTGTAACTACATTATCATCTCTATATAATTTAGATATAATGTTACATATATTATTTTAATACTTATATACGAGTTACATTATAGTTATAGTGAAATTATATTGCAATTATATTATAGTTAGATTTGAAAGTTTTCTCCTTAAAAAACTTTCGACAGTTCTCTAGATAGTCCCAATAGAGAAAGCATTTGAATGATCATATGAAGAGAACGAGCAGCATATAAGCATAAACACAAGTAAACAAGAAGCTAAGTTAGTTCATCTAGTCCTTTTTACTTTTACTTATGAAAATCGAGAGATAGCAATATGTGTTTTGTTCTATCCTGATTCAGCAGATTACAGAACACAGATATATTTTATATTCATGTCTTGATTCGGCAGATGATTACACCATGATCTTGTTATGAAATGGCAAGCTTCATTTCAGGCTTGATACGTTGGTACTCCAATATTTTTAGGACTAAAGAATGACAATGGTTCATCATAATGACAAAGCTGGGCATCCTTTAAGATCTTACAAGACACCATGTTTTGTACGTAGAACTTCTAGTTTGCACTTAATTATGTCTGCTAGTTCATTATAGACGCAAGCCAACAGAAATACCGGCATACTCCCATATAACCTATCTGTATTTTGTTTAAAGCAATGTACATGGTATGGTTACTTTCTATCAATTTATTTCATCCCAACAAAAATATAAAAGCAGGGTCACTTGTCATAAACAGGAAAGCTTCATCTCAGACTTGATCGCCAGATGATATAATGTTTTTTTTTTCAACAGTTAACATGATGACAAGACTGGGTGTCATTCAGTTTCTTAAATATTATGTTTACTGACAAATTGTAGTTTGCACTCAGTGATGATTGCTGGCTCGGAGAATAATAATACGGAACAGAAGTAAGAATTTTCATTGGCATCAACCTAATACTTGGTAGGACACGACAGCGAAGGGTGACAAAGCAGGTCGAAGAAGATGAGGATAACTAGGAAGAAAACATATCTTCTTTTTCAGAGGAAGAAAGGTACCCTACATAAAAAAGCTGTGTTTAGGCTTCCACTATTGAGTTAACCTCGGTTCTTTTGAAGTTGGAACTATAAACAGAATGCTTCAACAGAAGTGATCAGCCACAATTTGGGTACCAGCCTAACCAGTGACAACGTCTGGCACATATAGTACAAACAGACTTACTAGTTTTAGCTAAACACATGAAAGGTTCTATTAGAAACAAAATGGCACACACGAGGTGGGTATTTACTGCATAAAATGTCTAAGAGGTGAGTGCACGATTATTTCTGTAGGATGGACACCTTCAGACTAGAAGGGATGACAAACTGGATATACGACTAATAGTGGATGAAACAAGAAGCAGTAGTGGAGAGAGTACCCAAAGATTGTTTAGATGAGAACCTGGTACATCATCTGTTCTAATCACTGCTCGAACGAACCAGGACGTCTGCCAAAGTCTTGTTTTCAGCACCTTCCTCCTTGCCTGAAGCGGTACATTTAATCATTTGTACAAGTAAAACATCACAATAGTAACACAGAACATACTAAAACAATATGGAATTCTCTGTATTTAAATATAAGGTTTGAGCTAGCAATAAAACTCTTCTTGTAGGGTAGGTAATGGAAAATTCAGCACAGCGAATCTATAATTGGCTTAATTACATGAATAAAGTTGTTATGAATAACTTTCAAATGGACAGTCTTATGTGTGATACAAACAATAGACATACCTGATATATGCAAATAAGTTAGCTTGCTAATTTTTGGTCCAGGGTTACACTCTTTAACTAATATAGTTCTTGACAAGTTGGAGAAGTAAAGAAGTAAGAGAAATACTTGAAAGAATGAGTTCATTTGCTAATTTTAGGTCCAGAGTTACACCCTATCTGATAAAATACTTGACTAGTTAGACAAATGAAGAAATCCTTAAATGGACATATCATCTGTATTAAACTATTAATTGTACTCTATGAACACAAAATTATAGAAAGATGGAAATAGAATGTGGATCATGTGGTATAAATTCACAATTCACAAACATTAGATTATTATGAGTTCCAACAAATATATCCTCAAACATACATGGAAGGGTTTGAACGATTATACAACAGAACAGCAACAGAAATATATGTATATAAGTTGATAGTTGAACTACTAAATTCCACAGCATGTGAGGTCATTGTCCTATTCCATAACCAAGATAACGAGATTAACAGACTATAAGATGTCAGTTTGACGAAGAATACTGAAAATGCATGTAAAGCAATGCTATAATGTAAAAACTAGCAAATGACCAGCACAGAGAACAAATTGTAACTAGCAAATAAAGAGGACAAGTTGAACATCACCTGCAGAAGGGATCCGACTTGACCCAAGCCAAGGTGGGAGCACACACGGTAAGAAGGTGCCAATGAGAAATGTTCGCTCATGGAACTCACATTCCCCCAAATCAGAACACCCCACCACCTCCCTCCTGTCCATGTCGACGGCGAGGACATGATCTCCGACGACGACGCACACGACGCTGGCATTCACCGGGTCAATTGCACAGATCCAAGGGATTCTATCCTGCCATGGCCGTCCAGCTGCCGCGTTCTACAGTGGCCGGCCAAGCGCCACCTGATGCTCAAGCGTCCAGCAGCCGTAGTCGTCGTCGAGGGCGAAGGAGCTGAGCACGAATGGCTTCTTCTGGGACACCTCGACGTAGCGCAGCCTCCCCTCGCTGACCCCAATGCGGCGGTACATCCCCTGAGCCAGCACTGACGCCATGAACTCCTCCCCCGTGGTTGGCTCTGGCAGCACGCTGCTCCGCGGCAGCTCGATGAAGCGGAGCTCTGGCCGGTCGCTGAACGGGTCGGCGGAGACCACGCCCCAGCCCAGATCGACCCACCATATTCGTCCGGCGAAGGCTACCACCTCGTGGTGCGAGTGTACGTTCAGCTGCCGCGCGAGCGGGAGCGGCGACGGCAAGCTCTCCAGCTTGTCCCACTCGCCTGTTTGCGACAGGAACCGCCACATCGCGAAGCCCCGATCCTTCCCGTCGCGGCCGTTCCCCTCGCTGAGAGATGCGACGGCGTACTCGTCGGGCGGCCCGTGACCGTGCCCCTGCGCGGACCGGGTGAGGAGGCCCGGGAGGTGGCAGAACATGGTCTTCTTGGTGCCGTTGATGTCCGGGAGGCGGAACAGCTCGCCGCTGATGGGGTTGCAGACGAGGCGCGTGATGTCAGGGTTCGTGTTGACGCCGGCGAGCTCGCGTTCCTGGGTGTCGCCGCGTGAGTTGTGGAGGTTAAAGCTGAGGCCGGTCAACTTCTTGCCTTGCTGCTGAGCCTGAGCCTGCGCGCCGGCGCGGCGGTTGGCGACGACGCGGGCCGTGGCGCGGATATCGGTGAAGTCGAGGAGGAGGAGGCCGTCGCTGGTGGCTCCGGCGTCCCCGACGACGGTGCGGAGGATGTCGCTGTTGGGATCGACCGGGGGCTCGGGGTCGAGGCCGACGAGGTGCTCGGGGACGACGAGGTGGGAGACGGCCGGGGGCTGGGCGAGCTCGATCGACGCGCGCTCCGCCGTGGACGCGCGTATCCTGGTGTACTGTATCATCGCCCACGGAGGCTGCGATGCGGCCGAGGAGAGGCCGCGGCGGAGACGGCCGGAGGCGGCGGCGGCGGCGGCGGAGAGGTGGCGGGGCAGCAGCATCTCGGTGAAAAAGTGGGGGTTAATTTGATAATTTCTCTCGTCTCCTTCGAACAGAGAGAAGGTGAAAGGAATTTTCGCGTGAGGAATTACGGAGTTGATGAGTAGTACTAGTAGTTGGGTGCAGCTGGCCTGGTCTACTGGGCTCGGTCCAGGGATTTGAACGACATTTTACGGCAAGGGCTGTGTTTATTTCCACGCAAAGTTTAGATTTTGGTTAAAATTGAAGATGATGTGACTGAAAAGTTACGTATATGACAGGTTGATATGATGGAAAAGAACTGAAGTTTGGATCTAAATTTTAGATCTAAACACAGCTAAGGTTTGCTGCACCCCTCCCTGTTGGTGCGGCAAAATAAATTTTCGGAAAAGTAAAACAATATGTACCACAAAATTTTAAAAAAGGGCAAATGCACAAAAAATTTTAAGCTACGCATCAGAGCATCGTTTTGTCATTTTTGAACTTTGCAGGTCGAGCTTTTTCTTTCTTTGGCAAAGCGTCTGTACAAACCGAAAACATTATCTGCTATTTTCAGGGATTAGCAATGACTAACATTCTCAGGGCTACTGAAATTCCGCAAGACCCTAAAATCTTAACACATTTGCACATACTTTCTCAGTCCCAAAGTAACGTAATCATTTTATTTTTCTATGTTTCTATGTTTCATAATACAAGGCACCTCTTTCTTACCACACCTCTTTCTTCCCAAAATTTGTTTTTCTTTAAATCATCTAGGTTCAACATCTCTAATCCTACCCATGTATTGTATTTATTGAGATGATTCAAACAAGAGTGGTAATAATTCTTTTAAGTCTTTGACTATACTAATGGTGGTTATGTCGAGAAAATAATTGGAATGGCACCTCTATTGTACTGCCACGTACTCCCTCTGTTCCAAAATGAATCAAACTCAAGAGATGAATCTAGACACACATCCTAGAGTTTGAGATTTTTTGGGACGGAGGGAACAAACACCAATTTACGTACAGTATTCAGACAGTCACACTCACACATGCTGAATTTTGCATTAACAGACAAGTTGTGAATCAACATCTAAGACGTGCTCAAACACATGGCATTTTTGCCCGGATTCCACCTTCAAAACGGACTCAAAATCTTCTGCCAACGTCATTAGCCGCAGCTCAAAGCCACAAACTCATTAGTGTCTAGGGAACGTCTGCCTAGCTGCTTTTAAGTACAATATTAATCAGTGAAACCCAAAATTCAGCGTTCAGCCAACGTTTAGCAAACAAAGAAAAAGAGGGGGGGGGGGTGGAGTTTGTGATTGCAGCACCCAATGCCATTGTAGCGTTGCTTCATAAGAAAGAAAGACTTCCAAGTTCATCATAAATTCAGAACAGCTTTCACAAAACAACTTCAGAAACCAACAGAACAGATATCGCCTGTTAAATTCCATAGACCTGGAGAGAATGAATTAAGCATTAGCCCATCTCATTAATGATGCCAAGAGAGCGAGTGCTATGAGAAAGAACCTATTTTTCTTTGTTACAATATGGATGCATGCAAACAGAAATAATACTATAATCCCACACACCTTTTTCTCAATTTTATATAAAAATAGGCGTAATGTTTATTTTCTATATACCATTTCTTTGTTCCATAACAGCAAATATGTACATCTGATTGGCAGATCTAAAATAAAACACGATAGCCCTAATTTTTAATATGCTCAACATTTAAATCCGAAGTGCTACTAAAAGACCACAGTATAGGAATCATGGACTATTTGAAATTGAAGTAGCCATCTGGTAAATTAGGCTGTCTTGATCTGAGGTAACACTTAACAAATAATGATGGGTAGCAAAAAGTAACTAATCAGGAATGCAGTTTCCTTAACACAGGAAAGAATGAAATAGATGATGGTTTAAACAATGATAGCTAAGTACCAAATATACATTATATATACCATTTCTATGGTGCAACAAAAACTAATGATTTCAGTCACTTGTGAAGAAACAGGAAGCTATGAAGTTAATAACTCATGATAACAAAAACAGTTATTTAGTTTTTTAATACGCAAGCTTTATTTAGGTTTCCATCTAGATAAGTTTTACTGGTACAACGCGAAGTTGATTCTCGGTTATAATGGGCAGATCGAACCAGACAAATCTGTACAGTTGATGACAAGAGTAGGGCACGGTAACCATAATTATTTGTACACTATTTCACATTGAAATTTAAAGTACCAATAGCTTAAAACTGAAGTAGTATATCATATCATGTTCTACAGTACACACTACAGAAGGACTCAATTGACGCTACAAACATATATGGTCAGCAAAAGTAACTAGTCATAATTCTTGTTTCATTAACAAAGGAAAGGATGAAATAGATTATGGATTAAACAAGAATAGCAGAAGAAAGAACCATATGTATTTGCTTCTTCACCTCAACTCTTCATATCCCTGTCTACACGAACCAATGTGTCTGCCATGGTTTTGCTTCTGATGCTGGCCTTGGTGCTTGAAAGTGTTCCTACAGTGAGGGAGTTGAACCATTATAACACAAGAAATGGAAATAAACACTTCCCTACATTTGTTTACAATATGAAAGAGCATAACATCTCTACACTGAAAGACATGCGCTGTAAATGAGTTTGTCCCATCATAATTTAGCTACATTAGGTTGGCACAGACCACACAACATATGCATCAAGAAACAAAATGGAATTGCTAACTTGCTATACATGTTGACTGCAATTTAAGCAAATCTCAGCATTTAACATTGCACGTTTCCTTTTAATGACTTCGTAACCAATTTAACAGCAGAGGTGGCTCATGAAACAATAACATTCTCACAAGCCTCCAACCACATCGTTTAGTTTTGACGGGCGCATGCAAGACAGGGCTTTTCCCCCGATTCCTCCCAAATAGAGGAGATTCCAACAATCTGATTCCAATGAAAACCAGCAACCCAAACTCGTCTAGGGATCTCTGCTCAGCCAATTTTAAGTTCGGTATGCATCAGCAAAACCCAAATATAAATGCACATCCAATGTTTCCCCAAAATGACAGTTCGGAGTTGCAGCACCAATTGGCAATTGCATCATAATACATCACCTCATAGAAAAGGGTAAAAAAGTCCTAATCCATCAGAACAGTTCTCACTGTTAAATTTCAGAAAACTGGAAAGCAAAAGTTATGATTTGGGAACATCTCATTGATCAGGCAAGGGAAGCGAGTGACAAGAGAAAGAATCAATATTTATTGGTTCATCATGAACACAAGCAAACAGAGATGATATTATAGTCCCATATAGCTGGTCTTGTGGTGAATATGAGACATCCATGTGGTAGATAAAATGGATCAAAATCACCCACGGTAGTATGAATAGGAGTGAGAAGATAGTATTGGAAAAAGTTGATTGGCCATACAAATCAATAGTTTCTTAATATACTACCGATATTGCAAAACATAGTATAAGGCACCAAACCACTCGCCATTGCATTGCCACAGATCACACGCGATGCAATCATCTAGAAACATAATAAGATGGCTAAGCACATTAACTATTGAAATTCAAGAGGAATTCAGGCAGTTGACAATTATCACTTCTGTTTTCTGAAAAATCAACATGCCTACCTAAATTCCCAGAGATTATTCATGAAAACAAACCAACCGACCATAACATATGCATACTCATGTCGCAGGTAAAACATGCATATCAAAATAAAGCATGAGAAAGAAGAGAACCTGCAGAAGGGATCTGGAATTCCTCAAGCCACGGTGGGAGAATACATGGTGTGAGGAAACCGGTGAAAGGCGAAAATGGGCCAGTGCTGCAACCTATCTGCGAACGTCCGAGCACCTCACCCCGCTCCATGTCCACGGCAACACAAGAGTCACCAATTGTGAGGTACATTGTGCTCGCATTGAGTGGGTCAATGACACCAATCCGTGGCGTGTCATCCTCCTCCGGGTCTGGGTGGCATCCATCCACCCCGAGCCGGCTGAGCGCTACCCGGTGTTCCAGCGTCCAGCTGCTGCCATTGTCATCAAGGGCAAAGGAGCTGAGCACGAATGGCTCCTTCTGGGACACCTCGGCGTAGCGCAGCCTCCCCTCGCTGACGCCGACGAGGCGGAACCTGCCTAGCTTCCGTATCCCCTCCACGGGCTCCGTCACACTGCCCCTCGGCAGCTGGACGAATTGCAGCTCCGGTCGGTCGCTGAACGGGTCGACGGAGACGACGCCCCAGCTCACGTCGACCCACCACAGCCGGCCGGCGAAGGCCACCACCTCGTGGGAGACGTCCATCTGCCTGGCGAGTGGGAGCGGGGACGGCAAACCCACCAGCTTGTCCCATTCCCCTTTCTGCGAGAGAAACCGGCGCATGGCGATGCGCCGGTTGTCTTCCCCGTCCACGCTGAGCCACGCGACGGCGTACCTGTCCGGCGGCCCGTCGGGGCGGTCAGATTGGGTGAGGATTCCGGTGAACTGGCACCACGAGGTGTCCTTGGTGCCGTCGATGTCCGGCATGCGGAACAGCTGGCCGGTGACAGGGTTGCAGACGAAGCGCGTGACGTCGAACCGCCTGTCGAAGCCGGTCATCTGGCGCGCCAGGCCGTTGGGGTGGACGCCGACGACGGGGCCCGTGGAGAGGCCGTCGGTGAAGTCGAGGAGGAGGAGGCCGTCGCCGCTCGCGCCGCGCACGCAGCCCCCGAGGAGGCGCATCTGGCTCCTGGGGTCGGTGAGGGGCCGGAGGTCGAGGAGGTGCGCGGGGACGTGGACGTGCGAGGCGCGCGGGGGCTCGGCGAGCTGGAACGACGCGCGCAGCGCCGCCAGGGAGCTCCTGGCCGCTTCCACGTGGAAGATCATCGCCCACCGCGGGCGCGAGGGCGGCGCGGCCGTGGAGAGGGTGCGGCCGGCGGCGGCGGCGGCGGATAGGATCGAGCGGCGGAGGCGGAGCAGGTGGTGCATTTTGGCGGTGGCCGGCGACGAGGTGGAAGGGGGGAGAAGAGGGAGGGGGGGTTTTGCTGCTTTTGTTTGCGGCGAGCGGAGAAGGCGAGAGGGGGGCGGTCGGTGCACGAGGGCTTGGTTCATGGACGGGGGCGGTGCCTAGATGTGGACCCAGGTGGGTTCACATGTTAGTGAAAGGACGTGGCTTACGACTGCGGGAGGCGGAGACCGGAGGGGAAAAGGCTCGCCACTTTTTGAACGCATTAACTGCCAGATGGCAGATCCCCACTGGTTGCTGTGTGTGCTTAATCCCGTCAGTCACTAATCTCCCGCCAAAACGCTCTGGTCCTTTTGGGCCCATACGGCCCGTATGGTTGGGGGAAGTTGGATTGAGAGTTTAGAGCGACGAGGCTATTAACTATTTTGTTTGGTTGGAAGATATGTAAATTTTGGTGGGATGGAGATAAGTTTTGCCTAAACAAATCTCACCCATCCGTTTTCATTAGAAATTGGGAAAGGATTCTTCTTAGTTAGGAGCAGCTGACTTTAGATGATAACTGTTCGGACAAACTGTGGTGGACTCTGTCCAAAAATGGGAAATTCACTGTGAAATCTTTCTATAGAGCTCTCAAAATGCAACAGGTCAATTGTCCACATAAAAAGTTTTGGAAATTCAAAATTCCTCTGAAAATTAAAATTTTCATTTGGCTTTTTACCAGAAACAAGATTCTTACCAAAGACAATCTTTTTAAAAGAGGTTGGAGAAAAGGTGATAACAAATGTGCTTTTTTGATAAGGAGGAGACAATCCAGCACCTGTTTTTTTTTTTTGAGTGTCCTTTGGCCAGAATGTTATGGAATGTCATTGCTGTAGCTTTGAATCTCAAACCTTGTCTAAACAGAATAAATCTTTTTGGTTCTTGGCTCAATAATATAGAGAAATTCACAAAAAAACCTTGTTGTTACTGGGATAGCTGCTGTTATCTGGACTATTTGGAAGTCCAAAAACAAAGTTTGTTTTGAGAATAAATTTCCTCAAGATCCTACTGATTTAGTGTATATGGCTTGTAATTTGGTGGATTCCTAGACTTGTCTACAGAAACAAGAAGCAAGTCGAAGAAGTTTGCAGCTGGGAACCATGGTACTAAGGCCCTGTTTAGATGGGACTAAAACTTTTAAGTCCCTATCACATCGGATGTTTGAAAATTAATTATAAATATTAAACGTAGACTATTAATAAAACCCATCCATAATCTTGGACTAATTTGCGAGACGAATCTAATGAGCCTAATTAATCCATGATTAGCCTATGTGATGCTACAGTAAACATTCTCTAATTATAGATTAATTAGGCTTAAAAAATTTGTCTCGTGAATTAGCTTTCATTTATGTAATTAGTTTTGTAAGTAGTCTATATTTAATACTCTAAATTAGTGTCTAAAGACAGGGACTAAAGTTAAAACACCACCTAAGACAGGTGGCAAGTGAAGTATTCAATTCAAGTCATGGCTGGCGAGGAGGCATCAGAAGAATTGGACCAGCTTAGTCTCTCCCTGGCAGTTTGATCTTGTTTGATACTCCTTGGAATGTCTGTTTAATCCCTAGTACTCTGTATCTAGGATCGTCATCTTGGTTAGGCCTGTAATGGTTAGGCTGATGGTCTTCTGTTCCTGTCCCACTCAGTGGTCAGGTTTGTCGTTAGTTATCTGTTTTTTACTACTTCTCAAGACTTGTTGTAATGACTATCATTTCTACAAAGAGAAATGGGGGCGCCATCGCCCTAGTTCTAAAAAAAAAATCTAATATTAAACTAAACTCCATATCAATTTCCACCACCTCTACCAAACAATATATTGGGACTAAAAATCAAATTCCCATTTTAATCTCACTATCCATTCTCTCGTCTAAACTCCCAGTCCCCTTCCCTCCAGTTGCCAGAGTATGAGAGAGGAAATGGGAGTTTAGAATATTGAGCATTTTAATCTCTGCTCCCTCAGTTTCACAATGTAAGTCATTCTAGCATTTCCCACATTCATATTGATGCTAATGAAGTCTTCATTAGCATCAATATGAATGTGGGAAATGCTAGAATGACTTACACTGTGAAACAGAGGAAGTAGTTTGGTTGGAGGGCTTGGGAATTTCGAAGGGATTGGGATTGGGAATTAATCCGTCCAACTCCCCACCATCCTACCTTGTTAATTCACGAGACTTGGTGAGAATTAAACACGAGAAGTCTAAAACACCCCTCAACAATACCCCTGCAACCTCCACCGTCCGCTGGTGCGAGAAGGCACAAGATGCGCAAAACATTCCCATTCACCGGGTCGAGAAGGACTGAAATGTGCGAAAAATCCCCTGCCACTAGCACGAGGAGTAAAACGTGCACAAAATCCCTTGCCACTCGCACGAGAAGAAGTAAACGCGCGCAAAATCCCCATCTCAATAGCACTTCTCTCGCCCTCTCCGTCGGGTGGCCATCATGAGAGGGAATAAATCCTGCGAAATATCACCATCTTAGCAGCACTTCTCCCATTCACCCGAGAAAACTACAACCTTTCTCACACAAGTTTGTTGTGTTCTCGAAAACTCCCCCTCTCTCTCCTATACAGATCCAGACCGTGCTGCTAGGTCCACCGCTGTCATGCCTTGTCTTCGAGTCGGTCCAGGGGATGGAACATAGGCAACGGGATGTGGGGGCGGCGATGGAGTAGAGACCGGATGAAGCCTAGCCCCCCTCCCCTCGAAGGAAGGAGAGAGAGGGGTGACCCACTGACATGTGTGTCCCACTTTTTAAAATCTTTTTTCCTGATTGACATGTAGGCCCCACATATTTTGTTTGAACTTTTATTTTTCTTTTAAATCTTGCTTCTATGCCATGTCAACGTCATGTGGGACGAAACCAAAACAACCGTCCAAACCAAATTGGGACCTTGTATGCACTGGTGATACGTTAAAGAATGTTATTCAAACTCGATGTTAAGACGAGAGATCTAAAGTAAACTTATTACCTTTAACGTTTCTAGTGGACCAGCCCATCTTCCTACGTAAACCCAACAGCCGGCCCACTCAGATTCCCATCGGCACGGCACGTCTCCCCCTCCTCCGCACAAGTCTCGGATTCCTCCGCACGCAGCTTCCCCTCCCGAAGCTCCCCAAGTTTGAAATTTCGAACGGTCGGCGGCGGAAGGATGGAGAGGGCTACCACCTCCGGAGGCGGCGGCGGCGGCAGCCAGCCGCCGCGGGGGGTAGGGCTGCCGTTGGTGGAGGTGCAGGCGGCGGCGGCGTCGCTGCGGCGGTCGGAGGTGTTCTACGTCGTGAAGGAGCTCCTCGGCTTCGTCCTCTACATGCACCACCAGATCCCCGCGTAATCCCCCCTCGATCCGCTCCCATCCTATCCCCCCGCCCTTCTCTCTTTCAATCTCTCTCCCTCTCCCAAATGCTGGGGAAGTGGTCGGTATAGGGATGGATTTGGTGGGTCTCTATGTGAGTTTTTAGCATCTAGGTTACAGTCTAAACAATTTGTTCGAGTTCGAATCTAATTTTCTAGAGCAATTGAGGTGGTACTGAACTTCGGATTTGGTCACCAGATTTTGATGGGTTTTGTTCTAGCAACCTTAGTGCTTGTGGATCTAATTGGGATACAAGTTGCATTGCATCAATCCATCAAATAGGCAATGGCCTGACTGAATGGCTGTTCTGCTGTAGCAGAGTTGAGAATTCCATTAATTCAAAATGGCTCTAGAAATATGCGTGGCGTTCTGGACCATACTGTTGGCAATGAATTGGGCAACTTCATCGATGATGATTTGAAGGTTCACTTTTGTAACAAATTGCTTGCATTTCCTTTGCTTCCTGGGAGATGTTTGGTATTGATATGTGGCCTTAGGTTGTGCATTCTCTGTTAGATGAATATGACTGTTGATTGTTATGTTATTATAAACTGTTAATTTGACGAGATACTTTAATTTACCTTATTGTAGCGTGTTATCTACTCCTGGTCCTGATTACATGTGTTGGTGCAGGTGTGGTGTTCTTGTGCTTTCGTTCTTATGTTTTATGCACATAATAAAATAGACAAAAAAAAATTCTGGAAGAAATCAAAGTGTGTGTATCCGTTCTTGTAGAAATTTCTGCTGTACGACTTTTTTCCCCCGCAAATATGCCAAAAAACTTGCATATATTTGTATTAAGAAGAATAAATAGTAAGAGAACAAAGTAGCAACAAATATACATACACACACAGAGCTTCAAAAGAACAAATGGTCAGAGACTTTATGTATGACTGTTTAGTTTCTGTGTATGTTCTGGGCTCTGGTTCTTCATTTGCAATACCTGAGCACATACTCATGACCAACCTAGTTTGTCCAGTACAACAGAATAATGTTGATGCATTGGTGTGACGCTGTTATTCTATGATGTAGGGCTAATTTTCTGGGGCTTAAGTTAGGCACACAGCATTGTTGTGCATTGGTGCTTGACTTCTAGGATGCGTACATCACTGAAGATGAAACCTTTGAAGATGAAATCTCCTGCTATTGTGTTGTTTAAATTTGTTATAGCACACCTGCACTGCAATCAAAGAAAAAGAATATAAGTGAACAGCATTTAGCTTGGATTATGTAATTATCCATTTTGCAGATGGCCAGATTATATACTAAGTTAGGGCAGTTATACACTGCTGTATGTAAAATTATCACATGAATTTGAAGTCTAATTTGTTTTTCTACATTTTCAGGGTATTGCAGAATCTTGAAAATGAATTTGCAAGTTTAAAGGAGGAAATGGTAAGTTTTGTTCTCAGAAAGAATGTCACCATTAGCATCTACGCAGTATTTCTTTATCGAGCCTATTAATAATTTGTGGCTATTTATAGACAGAGATGGCATTGCCACCAGGAGAAATGAAACCATCTGATCAGAGAAAGTACAATACACGGAAAAGGGAAGTAAGACGGAGGATCAAGAAGCAGGAGAAGTTAATGAATGGCCTCTCCAGCGTATTTTCTGCTCTTCAGAAAGCACTCGATGAAGTTCCTAGCATTGAAGGAGTTCTCCTGATCCTCGGTGGTAGCCTTGTCAGGCCTCTGTTTGTCTATGACATTACAATTTCTCATGGTAGATTTGATGCTGGAAGTGCCAATGAGCGTGGTGCAAGCAAATTAGCGCAGTCCGTTTCTCGAAAGGTGAGCTACTTTCTGGCTTAATGCTCCATGAATAACTATCACCCATTAGATCCTAGGGTGACTACATTTCTTTAGAATTTGGTAGTTTTTCTGAAGTACCATAGAGTTGAGATCTGAACGTTGATGGAATTCACAATGCTGTAACTTTTAGTACCTACTTTGGACAACAATATGGCAATAGCATATCTGAAATGTTCTAGTGTTGTAGTTTTGCTCTACTGTTTGGCATTTTGGCATATGACCAAACAGTGTAAGGAGAATCTTGCTATGTTTTTGCCCCATTGCTAGGCTTAATTCTATTTTTTTTTACTTATCATTGTGCATGTTTCATCTTCATATGGTGGTCCTCTTTAAATAATAACATGCATATGTATATGTATAGGCCATTCGTGCTCTTATATCAAGTGGTGCAGGGAGTTTATCTTATACAGGTACTGGTTCTTCTGTTTTACTATATACTAGCTCTGTTCCAAAATATAAGAATTTTTAGTGGTGGACATGGGTATTAAGGAAGTAGGTGGAATTAAATGGGAGAAGGTTGTGATTGTTTGAGAAGTGAAAATATGTGAAGAAATTAAATGTGGGGAGATTGTGATTAGTTGATAAGAGAATGTAAGTAGAGAAGTTGTATTTTGGGACAAAATTTGAATGCTGAAATTGTTATATTTTGGGACAGTGGGGGTATTTGATTGGGAATGCCATCATCCTTTTACCTTAACGTTTTCCCTCCAATTGTTTTGAAGGCCCTACCAAGCTGTTTGTTCTAGTCAGATGTCCCTGTACATTGAACTTACCACTGGACTTCCTGCCGAAACGTGATTTTCGTTACAGCAAAAAGGTTTTTTTTTTTTCTGAAGTTAGTTTATGTTTTTTGTCAGCTTCCTTTTGCAAAAAGATCTAATGTCTCCCTGATTAATACATGAGCCTTAATCTTTTCAACACAGGTTGTACCCCTCCAGATGTGTATAAAATGCAATATAGCAGGCATCCAAATAGATAATCAACAAATAACATCAATTGTTGATGCTTCAAGATGCACTTCAGAATCTACTATTTCTGAGGTTATCTGGTAAATAATTCTGGTCATCTGTTCCCAGTTACCCATTTATCACTATTTGCTTTCTGCTGCTATTTCCCCTCCTGTGTAATGGTAACCAATAGTTCAGTATTGTCTTAAGTACGGCAAACCTTCCCTAGTACTATGCAAGATAGAGTGCTCTTCCTGAGTCCATGCCACTTTATTTTCTTAAAATCAAGGCAGGAGCACTGCTGAATTCTACTAGAAGAGGTGAAATTATGATTACAAGAAGCCCATTAGTGTAATCTTATTAAACTGCATATGAATCTTTTGTGTTTTGAAGGATAAAAGAAATTTAATTTACCAACATTTGAATTATGTGCTTTTGTGTTTTGTTGGCATCAAGTATTGCAAAGAATTATTTTAAGGTTGATACGGTTAGGATTTTTTCTCAGAAATCTTACCCATTTTAGTTTGTTATGTGTACACTGGTTTCCTTCTATTTTTTCCCCTGAAAAACATGTATGTGTTTTGATGACCCCTGTTCTGTTTTTAGACCTTTGAACTTCCCCCTTTTTCAGTCTATTAGGCAGAGCTCCTGCCATTTTCGTTAAAAAAAGAAAAGAGTGATCTCCAGCGGATCTTTTCTTTTGAACTTAAGTAAATTCAGTTAACGAATATTCATTAATTTTCCAGGTTCCAGTGTAAGCATACGATAAGAGGCCTACCTTGCAAGGCGTCATTAGAAGAGTGATATGGCCCAAGCATGTTGAAGACGCCCAGAAAACAGTGGATGATGTAGCGATATAACTCCTGTTCTGACTTTGTAAATGCATACGGCATTCCGCGAAGGATCATCATTCTGTATGTTCGTTCCATTTGTACAGTGCTATGAAGTTCAGTTCGCTCCATTGCCTAACAAAGAAGAATGAAAAACAAGAGCACAATTAAAGTTTAGTGAACCTGAAGTATTGAATTGAATCTCCACACCATTTTACTTATGCTCAGTTTTATTGCGAGTTTGCAACACTACATATTTACTTTTGAAACTATGATTGTGTTTAGAACCAGGGGTGTAAAGTTTTGGCATGTCACATCGGATATACGGACATGCATTTGAAGTATTAAACGTAGACTAATAACAAAACAAATTACAGAATCCACCTGTGAACTGCTAGATGAATTTATTAAGACTAATTAATATGTCATTAGCAAATGTTTACTGTAGCATCACATTGTCAGATCATGGAGCAATTAGGCTTACAAGATTTGTCTCGCAATTTACACGCAATCTGTGTAATTAGTTATTTTTTTCGTTTATATTTAATACTTCATGTATATGTTCAAATATTCGATGTGACAGAGTGAAAATTTTTACCAGGGGTCTAAATAGGGCCTATATGTTTATAAGTAGCAGCATCCTATAACTACATAATTGCCACGGACTATATCAGAAAATATTGATTTTAAAAGTCCTTATAGCCAAGAAAAATCATTCATCACAAGTGATTAAAAAGTTTGAAAAATCCATATAGGGATCTAGACTCTAGAGCACTATGCTAAGATTTGGTAGTAATATAAGATGTTCTATAGTTAGACACGGTTATTAAGAAAGTGGGTAGAATAAAATAGGGAGAGGTATTTAAAAAACTAGAGTTGATTTTGTACTCAATTCATTTTTGCACGTCTTCTCCAAAAAAAAAAACACGATGTACTTCATCCAGGCTTCGTCCAAGTCTGATCCGGTGCAGTTGGTTGGCTCCGAAGCGTGCACGTCCGTGCGAGAGTAGAGTAAGAGAGTAAACACGATCATTTCGTTCTTGCAAAACTCACCTAAAGGAAAATTAATCTCTTTTTTTAGAACTTTTTTATCTCTTCGCTTTCCTACTGGAGCTTGAGGGATCAAAAAGGAGAACGACTCAAGAAGCGGGTGTGCTCTAGTCTCTAGACAAGTCGCCTATGCTCGCTAATTCTCACGGTTTCGTTTGATCTGGTTGTAGATTATTATTGGCTTCTTGCTGCGTATCGACGCATCAGGGTTTCGTCGATCTTGTCGGCGCATCAGGGTTTCTTTGCTCTGCTTCGGCCATGTCTTTGTGGATGCGGGCAGCCTCCATCGGAGGATATGGCCATGGGATTGGTGGATGGTTTGGATGTTTACTCAATTAAATGAGTAAATTTTACAATGGGCCACATATTTTGACCAAGGTTTCATCATCGGCTAGGGTTAAATCAATGTTTTCACTTAACACCATACATCTTTACATAAGTCTTCAGTTTGGACTAGGGTGAGCAAAACAAGGGAATATGTGAGACAGCTTCATATGATTTACACAGGGATAATTATAAAATGCAAAACATTTCATGTTTTCTTCCTTCTTTTCTTTTCAGTGTGTGGTAGTTAACTAGTTCTATTTTCTATTTTATTTTTATTCATTGTGCCCCAATGTATATATCATTTTGTGCCACTTTTGAACATGTTCACGTCATTATTTTAGTGTGATCTGCTGAATAAAAAGTTGTTTTCCGATTTGCTAATTTCTTTCTAAAGATATTTGTCTTAATACTGTGGCACTAAAATTGATGATTTTAACTATCTTTTCTCTGACAACTACCTTTGATGTGTTCAACCCTACTCCAAAGTGCCAACTAATGCAAACATATATGGTGTTAAGGCCTGGTTTAGTTCCCAACTTTTTCTTCTAACTTCCAACTTTTCCATCACATCAAAACTTTCCTACACATACAAACTTTCAACTTTTCCATCACATTGTTCAAATTTCAATCAAACTTCTAATTTTGGCGTGAACTAAACATACCCTAAGTGAAAAGGTTGGTGTGGACCTTGCCCATTGTGAAACTTTGGTCAAAATACATGGTGCAATGTGAAATTTACTCCAATTAAATTGATGTGCGTCAATTTCAATTTTAGATTTGCTCCTCCTTTGATCATGTATGTTTGTTACTTCCCTGCAGCATTGCTTGATTGGGAAGCTGAATCACCTACAAGTCTTCCCTGGTCTATAGTATACAATTTTGGATAACCGACTGCCAACTTTTAGTTCATCTAATTTTAGTTTCCAAGATTTATCTTGTCAAAAAAATGAATCTCAGTCATGTAATATTTATCATAATTTTAGTTTTTCCCGTGACAATGCACAAGCATTTTGAGTTAATTCTAATGTCTAAAATTGGATTTCATAAATAAAGGTTGTTTACTTCTTACATGAAACTTTTTATTTAACAATTGAGATATAAAATTATGTTTCATGTATGTGGGAATGTATTCTGCGTTTGTATTGATTTTGAACTTCAACTCTATCTTTTACATTATGGCAATATTAATTAACTGGACAATCAACTTAAAATTCTTAGGCTTCTCATCCATTATCGAATCTTGAGAAATCATATCCCTCATCCAAAATTGAGAGTTGTCAACATGTTTATGCACAAAGTTGAGCGAGTTTGTTATTTTGAGTTAGGATATATCATTTGAACATTTAACTCTTTTGGATTTTATTTAAACGGTGCCCCTCTTTTCAACCGAACCCAAATTTCCCTTTTTTTTATAAAAAAAAATACTCAGCACGTGATAGGAGGGTTGTGTTTTTACCCTTTTTTTTTTCCCCTATACGCGTCTCACCCAGTCGCCCGACCGGCCTCCTCTCCTGGCCACGGCGACGCCTCCTCCCCCGGCCACGCCGCGAATACCTTGGGTCTCTGCAATAGTCCAATACCGATCTGCGGCAGCTACTCTGCTCGTGGAGGAGAGCCGCCGCCGGAAGCCGGAAGGCCGGGTAGCGCCATGGTGAGATCCCGAGAACCCTAATCCTCTCCGATGATTGGATTCGATGGATCTGGCGATCTAATTCGTGTTTCTTTTTCCTTTTTTTTTGGTGGGGGGCGGTGGTTTAGTCGGCGCTATTCAACTTCAATTCGTTCCTGACCGTGGTGCTGCTGGTGATCTGCACCTGTACCTACATCAAGATCCAGTTCCCCGCCATCCTCAACGACCGCACCGGGTATTTTTTTCTTCGTTTCACTGTGAACTTCCTGATCTGCGCGATTTGTTCTTCTTTTTAGTCGTGGAGGCAAATAATCTAACCCGGAAAACTAAAACAGCGAGATGTATGAGAAAAATCTATGTCTTTACAGTGGAAATTGTGTCTTTCAGGCGCTGTATTAACATGAGACGGCTGTGTGCGCTGACAAAAATAAAGCTTATTATCGTGGATGAATTGCATATAGTTTGTTTGTGGACCGGATTCTCTACTAATGTGGTTTATAGTACCCTGCACGCAATTGAATTATTGTTCTTAGATGTTGTTCAGAATATATACAGATGTGTTTGTTAGTGCTAGTTATGCAGAAACTGAAAGTTTGCCTGTGCATGAATGGTTGTGGACAATAAAGTAACTTAGCTTTGGTGACTCCAACTTGATTTGGGCATGATTGATCTGTGCAAGAAACCAGTCAAATCAATCACCAACTTATATGCCATGAATCATGATAATACCATGTGCTAACTGTTGTTTGAAACAGTTAGTGACAACTGTACTTGTCACTGTGTTTACAATTTGTTCTTAACCCTTATTTGAAATGCCAAATGGCCAATGGATCTTGTTGCTTTAATAAAGCAGAACTGTGGAAGGATATCTGTTACCATGTAATGTAATAAGCTGATATATTCCTTTTTGTACTTGAATTTCTCCACAGATTCCGTGGTTTCTTTTGGAAAGCAGCCAGAATAGGTACGAGTCCTTTTCTTCTTCCAGCTCGAATAGCACCACCTATCTTGTTTCCATTTTGCTAATATCTCCTGCATGTTGAACGGTCATTTCATTTTTCACTCTGCACCATTGGGCACTAGATTTTTTGTTGGTATATATATTATCGAACATAGTTTCGTCTATCAACCTCAACTGTAAATGTTCACTCATTCAAATTGTCAGCACCTAAGTTCATTATTTGGTGTTTAGCTGAGCTCTTAATTTCAGCATAGGCTTATTATATTATCTATAGAATAATGGTATATAATACTTTTCTATTTAGATAATTTTAAAACAAAACAAGTAAACGAAAATAAATCTGAATCATCTCAAATTTCTGTAGAAGAATGTTCATAAATACATTGTTTTCTTTTATTTTGTCAGATAGCTATTATTTAACTATCATGAAAGTCAGTAGTCTTAATTTCTCAAAGAAAAGCAGCCCTCCTGTGATTATGTTTGAGATCTTCAATTGCCATTTTTTTTCAGCTGTGGAGTTCTCGTGAAAATTTGCTATCATGGTATGCTTAAACTATTTAGCAAAAAGATCCTGGTTAGATATGCGTTGCTTTATTGTCATGGTCCTCATGGTCAATTCAATAATATCTCTGTTAGGCACATAATGGCCACTTTAATCTTAAAAAACATGGTGTCCTTAGAGATCTATATGGAATGAAGGATAGTGAAAGTTTACAAAACATTTAGTGATGATAATTGGAATTTGAAGTCTGACGGTGCAGCATTTCTTTCTTCGTTCAAAGTCTAATGGACCTGCTCATGGATGATATCACATTAATACTAAAGATATGCTGACTATCAGCCTTGATGATCAGTAGTTATTCAACCAATGTTTTTATCACCTGCTCCTTTTGGAACTTTACTTGAAAGCAAATAGTTCCTATCAGATTTCTTACCACTTCCTGGTTATTTATCTTGAATGGTTCTTTTCCTATTTGTATTGAACTTGATTAACTTGGACAAATGAATTTTTATAATTCTATTAAGGCCAAAGTTACTCAGTGAGAATCAACTATAACTTATTAACTGCAGCTAAATATATATTGGTGGAAACATTTCTGTTTTGTAACTATAATTCCATTGTCACTAAGAAATTCAGGAACTGCTGCTAGTTCATATTGTGAATGTTTTTCCACATCTGGATCTCATTTATTGGGTTTTCAACTGTTTATATGTAAAATTGTAAACATGGTTGTCCAAACTGATAGTTATGTGCTGTGGGCTGTGGCGCAAGGCCCGGTAAAGCTTTGTGACAGACATGGCTCTGAAGACCATGTGGTTATTGTAGACCTCAAGTTAATTAATTGAAAAGCCAGTTCTTTAGATATTTCATAATTTGGTACACAATCATGTCAATTACATTATTTTTGTACAGTGATAAAGTTTCTTCATCAGTTCATTGTTAAAAATCCACCCATCTTTCTATCATCCCACTATCTACTAAGAAAGAATTCTGGCCAAAGAGTTCTATTTAATCTATCTCTCGATCAACTTGTCAGCCTTGAAGCCTTGTCATTGCCACAGTTGGGCAAGATCTCTACTAGCATCATGACCATAGTGTGTGCATAAACCCTTTGTCTTTGCCTGCTTGCCCAACTACACAGCATTTTACCAGAGCCACGTTCATGAGGGATTATTTCATTTGATTGTCTGGTTATTAACATATATGTTGTATGTGCAAGTTTTTCAATTACTCAACAGTGAGATAATGTTGCCAAATAACATGGTATTATATATTTATTTAATGCATCATTTGTTTCCTAGGCATTTGGAATTCATCTTTTGTTGGTTTTTCTTTATCAGGTGAACGCTTAAGCCCGTGGGTAGCTCTTGGGTGCTTTGCCATGGGGATATCCACTATTTTCTTCTGAGGCCTTCATGATTTTAATCCAGGCTGCAGAAGATTTGTAGGAAGAACAGTGTGATTATTATTGCATTGTTTTTTGTGTTTTTGGAGGAGCTTTTGTTTCAATTTTAGCTGGGATGTGGAGATACGAGTCTGGCAAGTGCCAGTTGTTACTCTCAGGGTGGTGCCCTTGTCAGGAAAGAAGTGATACTATGGTTGCACCATTTAATGGTTATGTTGTGTATTGAACTGTTTATGTGCACATGGCATGTTCAGAAAATGCTTAAATGCTCCTAACAGGATATTGCTATTTCTCAGATTCTGCTTAATGCTATATGGATGCGCAGGTTTGCTGCACTGTCAGCATAATTGAGCAGTTAAATGTACTAGATAAGATGTACTTCAAGCTGATCGTTTGTCTATATACCCTAGGCACAACCAATGTGCATGTGTGATTTTGTCAAGGATGCACCATTGAGCATGTGTGGTTTTTTGTCAATGCGCACAGCCCCGACCTTGGTTATAGGGCAAGGTCAGAGAAGATATGGTCATCCATGTTTCTTAGTGACAGGCTGGGTGGATGGAATGAGCTGCTCCAATTTTTCTTTAGGGTGGATGGATGAGAATGGATAGAATAAGAATAATATACTAGTATTAATTAATAATAACACAATTTATTAATTACTTCCTCCGTTTCATAATGTAAGTTATTCTAGCATTTCCTATATTCATATTGGTGTTAATGAATCTATACCTAGATTCATTAACACCAATATAAATGTGGGAAATGCTAGAATGACTTACATTGTAGAGGAGTAGGGTGAAATACATGGCCGGTCCTTAAACTTGTGGGGGTAGTATCACTTAGGTACATAAACTTGAAAATTATACGTTTAGGTCCGTAAACTTGGTATAATGTACCACTTCTGGTCTAATCGTTATTTGACTATGTTTGACCGCCAACGTGGTATGCCATGTAGGCAGGACTTTTATGCTCAGCCCCCTCCGCATATACCTTCGCACGTAACTTGCCCTGACCAGTGCATTTCAATCCAAATCTCCCAAAATATCCCTAAATCGGCTAGGGTTTCGACGGTGAGGTTAGTGGAAGGTGTTGATCAAGTGCCCGTAATGCAAGGATAAGGCCATTTTGGAGCGTGGAGCAATGGCAATTGCTAATCGAGACCTCATTTTCTATACATGCAAGGAGAAAAATAAGAGGGAAAAACGATTTGAGGATTTTTTTGGGGTGATTCTAGTGTCACTATATAGCTACTAGGAGATATATGCGACGTGTTGTGATGTAAAGGGGGTTGAGAGCAAAAGTGTTGTCTACGTGGCATGCCACATTGACAGTCAAACACAGTCAAAAGATGTTTGGACTGGGGGTGGTACATTAAACCAAGTTAACAGACCTAAACATGTAATTTTCAAGTTTACGGACCTAAGTGACACCACCACACAAGTTTAGGGATCGACATGTATTTCACTCTATTAATTATCATTAATCTTACCGCAAGTAATACTAACTAATAACAAAACATACTAATTAAGTAATTTTCACTAATTAGTTACTCCCTCCTTTCCTTGGTATAGGGCGCAACTGGTTTTTTTAATTGTACCAGAATATAGGGTGTCCTTGCACATGCACTTGCACGCGAAGCGGCATTCATGCAAAAGGCTCTCAATGTGTGGAGTTAGCTCTTCTTTCTTGCGTTGCGAGAGCTGCATGCATGCAAAGGCCGACGCACATGGGCGGAGCGAAGCATTGCATGCGTCACCCCTGAGAAAATCAGTTAAGCCTCCTTGGTATTGACGTTTGGAGTAGTTGCGCCCTATATTAAGGAACGGAGGGAGTATAAATGATCTTTGGTTAGCGTATGTGGATGGCCTTATCCGGCCAATTTGTTCGGGTTCAAGTGTTCAACATCCAACATATTTGATAATATTCTCATGAAGACCTGTCTCATCCCTCGCTTGCCCGTATCAAATAGAAAGGTGGTAATCATCTCCCAGTCCTACCTACGATATTCACCCTCACAGTCTCATATGAAGCCTTCTTTAAACCAGTTCATTTTGTTAAACCATTTCATTTTGCCTCTTAAGTAGTTTTGGCAGTGATTTCATACTTAGTAGGAGGGGGAGGAATTAGGGGGCTGACATCCTCGCTACACAAACCATGTTGCCCGTAGTCGTTGTTGATGGCAACTAGAGCACCCATGAGTTGTAGGCCGTCATCATTGATAAGGTTGGAAGTTGTGTTGTAGTATATCTTAGCCTCGCTCCCATGCTCGCATTGAACGTGTTACATGCCCTTAGAGAAAAGGACCGACCTAGCCCTATCGCTACTCGTGATGGCTCAGGCTACTACATCCTCATCGTCATTCGCTAGTCCAACTCACGCTGCAAGTACATCCTCATCATCATTCGCCAGTCCAACTCACGCTGCAAGAAGAAGCCTGTAGCTACGACAACGAATATGATGCCAAGGGAGAGGACTATCTTTAAACACCTCTAGTCGACGGATTTGGTCTCTCTAGCCTAGTCATCTCCCCCTCCCCCTAACCATCATGAAAATGCCAGAGGTGGAGCTCGAGCTCTAACTTGACATGGAGGTCGTCGACGAGGAGCGAAGGAAGACTGCCATGGTGGAGGAGACGGGCTAGCATGCGACAGTACCAAAGACCATTTTCTACGATAGGAGGGTAGTCATCTTCGAGGAAGAGAGGTGGGTTGGCCACCAATCTCATTGCCTAGTGCCCACCTTTTCGTCGTTGACCGATGAGAGAGAGGGAAGAGAGGCTAAATCAATCAAAACCATTTGGATAGATAAAATAAATCGATTTTTTATAGGTGAGTAAGTCTTCATATCCGATTTAGGTTGAGGGAGGAAAATCGGAGTCAGGGCATCTGTTGACAGAAAACACGAGGCCTGGGAGATCTGCTTAACTCCAGTGCAGGTCCAAAGCTCGCCTTCGGGTGTGCTAGCGTGCCAGTTGATTTGATCTTGTAATCAACAAGAAATAGAAGCAAAGAAACCGCGGTTAAATCTATAAATGATAGCCGATCGGCTAGGCGCCGATGACATATCATTTATCTTTGAGCCGATGTCATATGTGAATCGATCGGCAGTTGTAAATAGACAATAAAGAACTAAATCTATTCGATCGGCTGTAGATATTTCCAATATATAGTTCTTATATCGATATATACTTAAATCAAGTGATTGGGATAGATCGGTCGCCATGCCGAGACAGTATAAATCACTTAGATCGAAATATATATTACTAACAGGACTATATATGTTTATAGCATAGCCGATCAGATAGATCTAGCATATATCGGCTAATACTCCGATACTACTCTATCAGGATATTAAAACAGGTATAATATATCAAACAAAGGCCTAATATACTTAGATACAGCAATATCTTGGCATAAAGGGCAGATTTAACATGTCAATGAAGCATATAGAGCAAATATAGTTAAATCAGATAAGATCGGCTGAAACTCCGATGCTACCCTAATCGGCAACCAGAAGGCAGGCTAGAGATTGATATTCTAAGCACGACTTAATAGATCAAACTCAACTGATGCAACATTAAGTATGAAAAGAAGAACAATATCTAGACAATCAAGCCACTGGAAGTTTCATAGAGTGGTAGATATCTTATATAATCTGAATCAACGTCAAAATCTAACCTAATCGGCTGCCCTCTTCGATAGATGTTAGCCGATTGTAGATTAGATAGCGATATTGCCAGAGATTATGTAAGATATATGATAACTCGACGAATTACATAAACAAGATTAGAGTGTCATAAAGATAGAAGCACTAATCCCGAGAATACAAGCCGTCATAATAAGTTTTACCTCTTGCTGAAGATCGAAACCGATGCAGCTCAACCCGAAAGCAAGAACTCGTCGAAACAAAACTAAAGCAAAAGGGTGGCGATGCACCGAAATTGTATTGAACGTGTGTGTTAAAAGTTACATAGGGCTCGGGTCTATTTATACCCGAGAATTACAAGATATGTCCATAACGGACACGACTACTATCTCTAACAAACTCTAAGATACCATAAGTCTTTGCGGCAGACTTTTGCCCAAGCGTATCTCTAAGGAGATTACATAAAACATCCTAATTAATAGATACAATTGCCTTCTCAGGACTCTATCCATGTGCGGCAATCACCTTGAAATGCCTCAATTCAACCCGATATCATACATCAAGTTGCATTGTCGGAATCGGCTACATCGGCTTACCTAGTCCGACTCAGACCCAGCCGATCCTAATCGTAGCCGATCTGGACTCCAGCCGATTCCTGCTCTGTTTTCGAACTCGATCTCCGCCTCCGACTTCGCTTCGATCTAATCTTCTTTCTTGACGCCGATGTTACCAAATTTGGTTGTTAACACATGGCCCCCAAGTCCGGAATATTTGGTAATGTTTCGGATTTGCTGTAAATCGACTCCAAGCAAGTTTCGCACTTTGCTGTTTTCCGACCGTTACTGCCGTGCTTTAAATATTAACCATCACCCTCGAGAAATCTCACACCGTGACTTCCGTTTTCACCGCTCAAGCGAAACTTTGTCCTCTCTCTCTCCGGCGACTCCTCCGATGCAAAAGCGAATTCCAGGCGACTTCATCTTCGGCGAGATTTCCGCCCGCAGCGATGTCGTCCTCCACCAACCCATCTGATGCGCCATCAGCTGAGTACGCTGAGGTAAGTCTTCGTCGGCTAGATCCCCTTTCTTAGCAGCAGATCGATTTTCTCTTATCTTATATCGCTCTCTTTTCCTCGGTTGTTTTGGATTTGTAGCATCTCTCCAACCTAGTCGCGATTCCCAGCCTTTCGCACAAAAACCACTATTTTCTTGGCCCAATCGGCAATCTCGACCCCACTGATTTCATCATCGGTGAAACCAACCGGATCCCCTTTAGACTAGCCAACCCTAACCTGGGTCACTGGAAGAATACCTTCAAGTCTTGGCCATCTCTTGAAAAACCTACTCCTGATAAGAGCTGGATCACCTGGTACCAATGCGTATCGGCTAGTAAGAAAGTTCACTGGGATAAGATTGGAATCGGCCAAGCGCTTGCTCTCACCATAGCCAATTCTGCTAAGGATGAACCTCTGATGACTGCCGCCATCTACTTCTGGTCCAACACCATCAATGCTTTCTTATTCAACCAAGGGCTGATGACTCCAACTTTAATCGGCATTACCATGATTACTAGATTAGATGTAACTTCATCGGCTAACCCTATGAGTATGAACACCAAGAACCAATTTGACTTCAAGACCAAAAGTATAGGTGGCTGGTCTGGCTATGTGGCGGCATATATGGGCCAAGGATCTGTTACTCCTCGAGAGCATG